GAAAGAAAGAAAGAAAGAAAGAAAGAAAGAAAGAAAGAAAGAAAGGGAAAGAAAAGACAAAAGAAAAGAAAAGAAAAACCCATGACCTTTGCATTTTCTTTCTTCTGAGTCCCTCCCTGTCCCCTTTAGATACAGGCCAGGATCTCAGCCAGGACCCATTGTTCCTCTTCACTTGTGTAACAAAGAACAAAGTGTCCCCTCTTTAAAACTGTTTATTACTTCCACAGCTTCCTCTGCGGTGAGCAGCTGTGCATGACACAAAGCAGTTAAATATAAAGCCATCTTCTCTTTCTTTTGTTTCCCATGAACTTCTGGGCACTGTGCTGGTGGAGGGACAAACTAAGTAAATGTCTTCGTTATCATTTATTATTATTATTATTATTATTATTATTATTATTATTATTATTATTTTGCTCTGTTTACTTTAAAATTAAAACCTAATTAGAGGTGGGCAGGGCGACAGCTTTGCAAGAAAAATCAAAATATTGTGCCTCCCCTGGGAGAAAAGACATTTCCTTCACAAAACAACTTGGCCACTGGGGTGGCTTTGGCTCTGAGAGCAGAGAGGAGTTCTGGGGCTAAATTCCCTGAGTGTGTAAGGACCCTCCTCGAATGCTGCACACCACTGGGTTACCCTACATGACAAAACTGAAGTTTTTGCTTATGAAACAGCTATTTTAAACCACCTGCTGTGTGATAGACAGTTCTTGAATTCTCACATCCACCTGAAAAGCTAAAAACAAGACCCATCATATTCTGGGAAAAAGGTTGAGAAATGTGTGGAAGATCATACAGCTTGGAAATGGGGAAGCTGGATTCGCTTTCTACAACTACACTTTTTAGACTAACAGAGCTCTAATACTAAAGCTATCTTACCGGTGTTCTCTCCAGTTGTGTCTATACTAGATCCCGTCTTGACAACCATTCCCATCCTGTCTTAGTTTCATTCTTTCTTGCTCTGCCTCTACACTTCTCTCTCTCGCTCTCCTTTCCACATCGTGTACGTTCATTCAGGCATGTGCATGCACGCAGCACTCAGATACACCAAATGCCTGATTGCTAGAGCTCCTGTCAGCTAAGTTCTGTGCTGAACACTATTAAAACAAGGTTTGTTTGTTTGTCTGTTCCCTTAAAAAAAAAAAAAGAAAGAAAGAAAAAGAAAAGAAATGAGCTATGGGTAGTCACAGGTTGGATGTGATTGTTCCCTTTGGATGACAATATTTTGAAACAGCTTTAGGACCACGGTACATAAGTAAACAGTGAGGGGAGCTGATCTAAGGGAACACCCAGAGCATATAAAAATCTAGCCTAATGCTCTGTTTTCCACTTTTAAAAAACCAGATCTTATTAAGAGATGTAGAGCGAGTGAAAAGACTCACGATGGCAATATGGAACACAGCACAGTTCTTCAAAAGCTGCTTCCAGTGGGAGTCCACACTAAGGAGCACAATAGCATTTGTGGTAAGCTTTTACTTTTTTAATATTTACATTATTTTCTGTTTATTTGTATATACTGTCTCTCTAAAAATACATTACAACATAGGAGATTAGCCTTTCTAAAACTATCTGTATAAATACTACCCATAAAAATTCTTTAAATTATTCAAATAGTATCCATTTGTCATTTCTTGCTAAGCTTATAAAAGCCACTATCTATGTTTCTGTGATGTTGTTGAACCACATTTATATAGTCTTTACATGGTATATGTTTATCTTATTCTAGGCCAGTGATTGCCAGTAATATTTCAAAAGAACGGCCACTGGAAAATAATATGACTAAGTTATAACTAAATGATTCTACTTCAGTTTTTCAGTAAATCTTTCAAATAATTCAGTATTTAAAATACTACCACAAATGTTTCCACATCAATCTTTGGATACAATTGGTCACTGTGAATTAAAACAGGGCTCAACACCATAATTGAGAAACACTTGAATATATGAGATACACTAATTTTCTCAGAAACTTGGCCCATTCTCATGAGCATACTAATATCGCAGAATCAAAAAGTTGTAAGAGATTGTAACACCTCCTGAGTTCATTATTCAGATTCCATGAGTCACTGAAGAACATCCCTTTTGACACTATAGCCTCGCCTACCATTTCTCGGGGTATTCTATCTCATTTGTAAAGGGACTGGTCCTTAATCAGAGTGATAATGTCAGCCACGGGAGAGATATTAAGATTCCTCATTCCTTTTATGTTCATGTACCTGGTATTAATGGTGGATTTCTATACAGCTTCTATGCAGTTACATAAGAAATTACAGTATAGTTCTAGACTATATATATGATCCAAGGCAACTCAGATTTCTCCTGTCTTCTGATGATAGTACATCTTCAGTGTTTTCTCCTCCTTGCAGGTTCAGCTGTAATTTATATGATATGTATATCACATAAACATAAATATGAGATCAAACTGATACTGAAATAAAATACAAACATTGCTGCTCTATATGTGTGTATATTTATATTTAAATATAACATATTCGTGTTTCATTACGACCTCAAAGTTATTTTCACATTTTTTTTTTATAGAACCAATTATGTCAGCTTAATGAGAGACTTTTTCTTTGACACTGGGTATCATTTTGTTTGTTTTATTTTCATTTTGCATCACTTCAGGACATCTACATCCCTGTCATTTCCCTGGCATTTATTTAGTTATCTTCCTTTCTTACACCCTCCTCAGCTGGTGGCTTCATATTGTAGGCGTCTCTTCCACCTCCCCAGATCCATTTCCTACCCAGATTCCCTTTCAAAACTTTCCATGGGCTGTTGTGTACAATTTTGGCCCTGAGAGGAAAGTGAACACAATTGGCGACTGCTTCCAGCCAGCGCTCTGGCCAGTCACTTGAGGAGTAGAGGATTTCCCCCCCCCCTTTTTTTTTTTTCAATCTAGTTCTGGCTCTGAGACTTTAGAAAAACAGATCTGTTGCCTTGGATTCAGTAAGGGGATGACAGAAATGATTAATGGGCTGCCGGCCTGATCTGAAGAAAGATTAAAACAAATGAATGGAAACAGGTTGTCCGGTAAAGAGCGCTTCTGGACAGGAAGGGAGCCTTGACAGGGGGCCTCTCCTCTACTGCCCCTGCCTTGGGTGAGTCTTCTCTGCTGGGCACCACCTCAGAGAAGAGCCAGTACCAAGCTGTCAGGTAGAGACTGTGACATTGTTCCTGGGAACCAAGGGTCCCCAGACAGATGGACAACAGAGCTGTCCTCTCCTGCCTGATTTATTGTAGCCTGGGGTGCAAGAATACATGGGCTTATGTGACTGTGACAGGTTCTACTGTTTTTGTGAAAGGCGTGTTTCCTTCGATACGTCACTGAAAAAGATCAAATTTAGTCGCCAACACCGTAGAGTCAACTCGGTATGCCCATGCACTTCAATTTCTCAGATTCAATCAGCCACAGCTAAAAATTCTTAAAAATTACATCTGCCCTAAACAAGTACAGACATTTTTCTTCTCTCTACTCCTCATACAAAACAGTATTGCAGCTAGCTACATTTCATTTGCATTTTATTTTATAGTATAAGCAATCTGAAAATGTTTTAGAAGATATATGTATGTTATCGTCCAGATGATGACACTGGATATAAGGTACTGGAGCGTCTGTGGGTTTGGGTGTCTGTCTGTCGGGGATTGTGGAGCTCACTTGTCCTGAATATACTGCATTGAAATGTACTCAGACACATTTTGCTTTTAATTTGAAACTCCACATACAAAAGTTTATACCATATGCATAAGGCCTAGCCATTGTTGAGCTCAGAGACACCAAGACACTGCAAGGCAGACAGTTCTTGCCCCAAAGCTGATGAAATGGGATTTTATTAAATCCTTTTCTGTTATTAAATGGTATCATTGTAATTATCCCTGTACAGTTTCTGCTCTCTAAAATACAGGGCTGTACTGAAATGTACTTAACGGGCACACTGATGGCCGTGTGTGTGTGTGTGTGTGTGTGTGTGTGTGTGTGTATTTTCTCTTCTTCTGCTCTTGTTGTTTAAATGACATCATGAGCAGTCAAGCTCTTTTTGAGGGGGTATGTTTTGTTCAGAGAGTATTCTGTGGGCTTGTCAGTTGCCCATAGAGTTCTATTGGAACTACCCACATAGGATCTGCCGCTCAGTGTGCAACTATACCATGGAATATGTGGAACTCTGGCATAGATTAACTACCAGCAGAAAGTTAGCTTCTCAACTATGCTGGGCCAGAGAGGTGCAAGAAGGTGGAAAGAAAGAAGCTCAGCACCCCCTCTGTCTGCCCTTCTTTGGAAGAATGGTATGTATGTCACCACTGATACCCAGTAATGGTTCTGCTGTGGCTAGTCTGGGCAGAATGCTGCTGCTTTTTATTCATCAACCTGCTATCTCCCTCATGTTCTACCTGCTGGCTTGGGTGTTAGAAGACACATAGCTTTGTGGTCTTTTAGAGCACAGTTTTCATTGGAGAACTTATTTAGCCACCAGATTCTGCTTGAAAAGCCCTTATCGTCTGTTGGAAATGAGGATGAGAAGTATCGCTGGACTACTAGTGGGCTAAAAAGAACAATTTTGGTCAAACTAGCCACGATAGGACTTTTCCTGCACCTGTGGGCATAAGAAGTAAAACTGAAACACCATATACTAGGGGGGAAGAGGAAAATACCTTTATCTGTTTGCTCAGAAAATAGTCTACTAGCTTCACTGTCTACCCTGTTCTTCCAGACACAAGCATGTGCATCTCATATGCTAGCTATCAGTGCTAAGACATCAGAGTAGCAAGCCATTCATTCCCCTAGGTTCCTATGGGTCTGAGTATGCATAGATCGTACTCTGTCAGAAGCTTCAGCTTTTAAAACCAGCTTTTTAAGATCTAAGTCCAGGGCGCCTAGTCAGAAGTAGATAGACAGACATGAAAATTTTCATCATGTTAGGTTGTCTAAGCCTAAACCTGATTCACTGTAGGACTTATCTCCTTGACCCAGCGGGGGTGGCTACATCCCCAACACTAAAAGGTCAGTGCTGTCTTGAATATTTTCCTGATACCTTCTATGTTAAAATTGCTGTGTGTCGCTGAATTTGTCACTGCAAATATTTAAATCAAAGACGAGGCCATCAATTTGAGAGAGGCGACATGGGAAAAGTAGCTGGAAGGAGGGGACATGAGAGAGGTTTTAGGGAAGAAATAGAAAAGCGAAGTGATGTCACTATATTTTAATTTAAAATACATTTGGTACAAATGTTTGATTAAAATTCAATCTCAAAATAAACAAATAAAATGCAATAAAATATATATTGTAATTAAATTTGCATCTTATGGGGAATGACGAAAACATCCCAAGTCATGTTTCTCATGTCAATGTGTTTTGTCAGGCAGAATATTTCAAAGAAAATTCTTATTCTGTCTTTAGAGGTTTTTTTTTTCTCCTCATGAAAGTTTGTTACATATTTTGGTTCATTGTTCTCTCCAAGCTTTAAATCAATTCTTCATGGTAAATTAGGTATATAATTTCCCCCTTCAACAAGTCACATTTTTTACTTTCTCAATTGAAAGCAAATATAAAGCCAAGTTATTGACAGAGAACAAATGCAGAAAACATCTTGTTTATCGGGGCATGAGCGTCTGTCTGCATACTGCTCTATGAGTAGATTCATAACTGTGGCATTTATCCATATGCACATGGTAATACCCACACAGACCTTGAATTCTGGGGATTCTAAGAACCCAGGTTAATGCTTCCCTTCCTTGGTGTAGTAATTCCAAACAGTGCTCAAATGTCAGTTCAGTGAGTACTCACAAAAGCCTACAGAGGTAGATGAAAAGCTGTGCCCTCTTTTTCACAGGTGAAAAAATGTGAACCTGCAGTAGAATGTTGAAGTCTGTGTGTTTCTAAGATGCAGAGAGGATATTGAAGCTCAGATCATTTGGCTCCAGAAAGGGCCTGCTTCATTCCAGGGCTCAATGCTGCCTGTCATTGATGCTTGTGATTCAGTGGTGCTGTTGTTTCCCTATTTATAATCTTACTCTAGAAGCAAGCTTACTGATTATTTCAGAAATGCGTTGACACTGGGGAAACACTTCTTCCAAGAAAGATGCTTAGCTGGGTGGGATCAATATACAGGATTGATAAACAAGAAGCACTGGTTCTATATGAATTCCTAGCTGGAATGCTGTGTTCCCCTACTTTGGGGGATAATGTTAGATGATTCACAAGTATTTTCAGAGAAAGCATCAATGAAGGCCAAGTCAAAACCAATGGGTCAATCATGAAGACAATTTTTCTACTTTTCAATTTTTTTTAAGGTTTCAAGATGTTAAAGAAGAGATAGAGTGAAGAGTAATAGTGGATAGTAACTTGTCCTGAGATTCTCTTAACACAGCCAGGAAATACGTAGGCATTTCTGTTGAGGTTCTTTTCCCCCATATGGTCTCTATAGCAGCACATCACTTGATAGTGGATTAAATCACACAAAAAT